TCTCCAGTTGGAGAAGACCGGTTGGACTTGATGGTCTTAAAGGTCTTTTCCAACCTAAAAGATTCTATGAAATATCTTCCCGGGCTAAGGTCAAACAAGGATTTACTTTTTCCGCCCCTTCCCTTTACCTCGTTCCAACCAATGCCATCTACTCACCCTGTTTAAGCCAAGGGCTGGGAAGAGGTGGGTGGAGAATGGGATGAGCAGAAACTCCTATAAAGCCTCAGATTTGTAGCTGAGCATTGCTAAGGGAAAACCTGCGGGATTTTGGGAGAACTGGCTGTGCTCTGGGAGGGATAGGGCAGGCGCGCTGGCCCCGGGGAGATGGGGAAAAGGTGCAAAGGGTGTAAGCCCAGCATGGAAAGGAGCTGGAGGAGAGGCAGGAGGGGCACATCCCCACCGCACTGCAGCCAGACCTGCCCTGCAGCTTCACCATGAACACACTGAGACCACTGGGCAGGGACACCAGCCATTACGGACGCCATTTTGTGGACTGCTTTTGGCCATCATTCGCTTACAGACTTCCCAAGCCAGAGACTTCTTTCCAGCCTTCTTCACCCATCCCAGCCTTTCCAGCAGCCACTGGCCCCATGGATGGGTTGTAGCTGCATGGCAAATCTCCCTGCGTGCATCTTGCCGTCAAGAATAAATCTGGGATTTTTCTCACCAGGATCCCGGCCCCAGCTGAGTGAAGGGATGGGGGACATGTCTCCGCTCACTGGAAATGTCCCTGCTTCATCTGTTATAATTTGGAGAAGTGCAGCATGGATTTGATACAGAAATATTGAGACCTATAATGAATATTTGCCTGACACGAGGCTCACATACAGATCTGTATTCTGGGTTTAAATGTGCTTTGAAAATAAGCACTTTCACTTAACTCTATTCTCCCTCCTCCCCACCTGGTTGCTGAGAGTGGAAAGTCTGGGTAATGCTGTGGAAGAGGAGGGCTGTCTCTGCAGCGTGCTCTTGTCCTTGCAAGAGGCTGCAGAGCTCTGCCCAAAGGCCATCGCCATTGCAGGGAAGGGACCCCGGCCACCCCCGACCCTGCAGTGAGGGCTGTGGCCCCTTCTGGGTCAGAAGTGTCCCTTGCTCACTGGAATCCACCAACCTCAGTGCAGAGAAGGTCTCAGTAGCAGTTCCTGGAGAGAAGCTGAGCCTGGTGCCACCTTCTTGCTTGGATAAAAGGATCTTGGAGCCCTTGGCCCTGCATTGGGTTCGAGAGGGCTGAAACACTGGCTGTGAGCTGCACTTCTTAAAGCCTGGGAAAAAAATACAGGCAGCATTTAGGGACTTGCTTTGCCCCTGAACCTGGTTTCTTGTCCTTTGGGCACCAGCAGACTCAATCCTGTCACTCGGGAAAGGTGCTGCTGCATGTGGAAGTGGGGCAAAGGCACCAAGAAAAGCCATGCCTGGGAAAGGACGAAACTGCTGGCAGAGCCAGGCCCGTGATATGCCCGAGTGGCTTCTATTTTGGTGTGGTCAAAGCAGCAAAGGGAGGCCGACTCGTTTTTCCAGCGCCTATGTATAGAGCTGTGAGCTCATAGTTTCCGACTGTGGAGAGCATTCAAAGTATGGGAAACAGGAATTTCTGCCCCACCTCAGTGCCAGCAGAGAGCAAACTGAAGCTGGGGAGATGCTCGGCTGCCCTAGATCTTCTCTCACTGGCCCAGGTCACTTGTCCAGCAACGAAGAGCTTGGTGGGTGCAAGCAGACCTGGCACTTCCAGCAGCTCCAAGGAGGGGGCCAGGGGATGAGGACGCCTACTGCAGAGGTGGCTGTGCAACCTCAGCCCTGGCACAGTCTGTCTGGAGAGGTTTCAGCCTCAGTTTCTGACCATCCCAAGAAAACTGGGGTAACGAGTGGAGTGGCTTGGTCCCCAATCCTAAGCAGAGGTGTGGAAGGTGTTGACATGCTTTAGGTCTCCTTCCAGCGAGGTACAGGGCTTCGTGGCTTGAGATGATCCCCCTGGGACACAAGCCTCCCACCATGGGTACTCTCTGCAAAGGGCAGATGCATTTTAGCAGCTGCCCCAGTGCACAGGGTATCCTGGCAGGGCTGGACCCACCCTTGTCCTTCCAGAAACCAGCCCCATGTTGTAACCACTGCAGCCGCTGCACCCAGGAGTGACTGATACTGCTGCCCACGCCTGCAGCTCTGCTCCCTTCACAGCTCCCAGCCACGTGAAACCACCCGTCCTGCCCACGAAGGGACTCTGGGGCCCATCTCATTGGGTTTTGGGTGCCAGGGGTGCATCTCCTCTTCTGCCTGCTCCACAGACCCTGCAGGGGCCTGGAACCTTCTTGAAGATGGAGGAGCACAGGGCTGGGAATGCCTCTGCAGAGCATCTCTCTGCCCCAAGGCAAACCTGCCCTGTATGCCCAGGTTTCCCCTGAAGGCTTTCCATGATGGACCTCAGGCCCTCCAGGGCATTCAGGTCTCTGGATGATGCAAATCCAGGTCCCATGGGTGCACTGCCACAGCCAGAAATGGGGAAGGTGTACAGGTGTTTGGGTTGCTGCATCTGCTCTGGGCATCTCCTCTGGATGTGGCAAGTGGTGCTCAGATCCCTGCGGAGCCACTCAGCAAGGCTGAGCATGGGCTGGCAGCCCCATGGCCACTGGCCAGGCTGAGGGGTGGCAGGGGAAGCTGGAATGGGTTGGGATGGCTGCAGGACTGATCCACCCTGCTGGCAGTTTTTGCAAGGCTTTGCAGGGAAGATGCCTCTTGGCTTCTTGCCTGGGGGTCGGGTGAGGGACAGGGCAGCACCCTGGGACACAGGTAAGGCCACAGGGAACCTTCTCTATGCGGGTTTCAAGCCTGCACGTGGCCAGATGGTGACTCAGGAGCCACCCATGGCTGCTGAGGAGGCCAGGCATGGGGCTGCTGCCTGCCTTGAGCCCGAAGGGCTCCTGCTGCTGCCCGGACCACAGTTTACAGGGATGCTGGAACCCCCCCAGGGAAGGTGCAAGGTGGTGGTGGCCCTGGTACCTGCTTGGCTGTGAGTTTGTCCATGCACTGCCACACCATGGCTCTGGTGAACACCCAACGATGTAGAATGGGGAGTGCAGGGCTGGGGAGATGAGGAGGGGAAGGGACACAGGACAAGGACGCGGCCAGGATTAGTGATGGGGAGCGCTGGTGGGTGGAGGCAAGAAGTTTTTGGCAGGAGCCCAGCCCTGGTGCAGGATGCTGCATCTCACCCTGCTTTGCAGCAACGGAGGGATTTCGGGTCCCAGCATCCCCTTTAGTGCCTGTTTCTTTGGGGTTTGACCCCAGGGATGAGCCCAGCTACAGCTCCCCATTGCACAAGGGAAAGCAGGCAGGACCATGCCTCCTGTCCCTGCCCTCCAATGCCTGACGCCAGCTCCTCGCCCACTCCCTGGCCAACCAGGTGAACATCAGACCTTTAAAACCTGAACAAGTTCCTCCACATTCACTCCCCGGGAGCTGCCCCTGTCCCTGCTCCAGCTTTTGCGCAATGCGGCTGCATGAATCGCGCAGCCAACACCTCCGTGTTATATAGGTGTCCTGGTCCACTCCCCAGCTGGTGCTCAGTGCTGGGGCTGGGGCACCACCAGCCCCGCTTCTGGGGAGAGCAGTGGAGCGCATGGAGGGGCTCCTGCCCTGGTGCCCTGCAGCAGGTAAGGGGGCTTTGGGGCATGGAGGAGCAATTGCACAGGGATGGGGTCTCCTTCTGCAGCACTTTGGGGGAGCATCAACTCCCTGATCCCTCCTAAACCAGAGCAGGAGCCTGGGTCTTTCTTCTTTTGCATGGGGTGGGGATGGTTTGTTGTGTTCTTGTGGCCATCCCGGTGCAGGGGGTAGCTCCTATGCAAGAGGAGGGCAGCCAAGGAGTGGATGGCAGAACCTCCAGAAACAGCTGGGAGGATGCCCATGGGCACAGTCATGCGTGAGAAAACGGGCGCAGGCTGGGTCCCATCTGAAAGTGCTGCAAGGTCTGGAAAAACTGCAGATTTTAGGAAGCTTCTTTTCCTGAGCTAGTCTAAGAGAATGGAGCTGAGCATCCCTCCTCTCTTTTCCCCCTCTCCTCTTCCTTCTCCCCTCTCCCCTTTCTCCTTTCCTCTCTTTCTTCCCCCTTCCCCCTTCTCCCTTCTCCCTCTTCCTTCCCTGAAGCCACCACATGAATGCTCCCTGCTCTGGGAGATGCATGGGAGAGCTTCAGACCCAGCCCAGACGCGGCCCCGTGCTCCCGCTTGCACCCCGGGCCAGGGCGGGGGCCAGGCTGGGCTCTGCCCTACCCGCTCTGACTAAGAGGAGACACTGGGCTGTGGTGCTTTCTGCCCATGCTGTGCTCCAGCGCACGCGAGGAGATGGCAGTGGCCTGGTCACCAGCCTGGGACATCCTCCGGCAGCCTGGAAGAAGCCCGGTGTGGGTGCTTGCTGCCTGTCCTGGGCACAGCATGCTCTCTCTCCATCCCCAGGGGGGTCCTGTGCTCCCTCCTGCCCTGCTGGCCTGGCCTCCCCTTGCTCCTCCCAGACCCTCTGTGTCTCCTGGGATGGGACCATGTCCCTTTACTTGGCAAGTTTCTTTGTGGGATGGGAGTTTCCACCCCCCGCATACCTGGAGCTGACAGCAGAGCACAGACACACTCGTGACACAAGCTGAGCCTGCTTTATCGGTACCAGGCACTGAGCAGGCAGACGCAGCTCCATCCAGGGGCTCAAGCATTTTTCTGTGTGATTTTGCAGCCAGGGATTGTTGCCGCCAGTGGGTCTGGAGCTGAGTTCCTCCCATCATCTCCTTCTTGCCCCAAGGGCCACACCAAGAGTCTTAATGCTCCTGAAAATGCCCTGCCTTGTTGAGACCGTGCTTAGTAGCCGTCCACTGCATCTGTTAGGGGCCAGAGGGCAAAGGCAAGAGAGCAGGGAGGACGAAGAGAGATGAAGAGATGGATCATGCTAATGACCAAGACCCTTATTAACCTGTCGTGCCTCTTCCTCGCAGACGGGGAGCGCCTGTGGCTGACAGAGCAGCTATGTCTGAGACCTCGTCCAGCAAGGAGGGTCTCCCGGCCGAGTGCCCTGTGTGCTACGAGAAGTTTCACCCGCTGGAGGCCACACGCCGCAAGCTCAGCTGCGGGCACACCTTTTGCCACGACTGCCTGGTGAAGTGCCTGCTCTCTGCCAAGCTCGACGGCCA